CACCCAGGTCAGCCCGGACAACCTAGTCACCCAGATCAGCCCCGACAACCTGGTCACCAAGATTAGCTCGGACAACCTGGTCACCGAGATCAACCCGGACAACCAGGACAACCCGGTTACCCAGGTCAGCCGGGACAACCCGAACAGCCCGATCACCCAGGTCGGCCAGGACTAACCGGACAGCACGGTCATTCAGGGCTGCCTAGACAACCCAGCCTCATCCACATCCGCCCGGCTCCCCGGGCAGCCCTGGCTCAACCACTTACAACCCCAGCACTCCCGGCCAACCTGGCCTGATCCACATTGCCCCCGGTAGCCCCGGTACGGACGGCTCGGTCAAGCACACTGGCGGACTGCCCGTTCAACCCGGCTCCGTCTCGTACACTCCTGGTAGCCCCGGGCCAGCCCGGCTTCGTCCACTACCAGCCCCGCCAGCCGTCTTCCCCCGGCACGGTGCAGATCTCCCCTCCCAGACCGCTACGACCCGGCACCTCGGGCGTGCCCAACGGGGGCTCCATCTACGACGCCATCCAGCCCCCGTCGTCCGGCACCACCCAGACCCGCTCAACACCACCCCGTACCTCGGCTGCGCCACAGAACCGGTGCACGGTAGAGGGCGTGATGACTGACCGGCCCGTGCTACTCACCCGCGAACAAGAGGAGGGCTGCGTGCTACTCACGGTCTGCGCCGGTCGGGAGACGGGCATGATGATAACGGTAAATTTATTAAAATGCAATTGGGTATAACCCGACTGCAGCTAATTACATAAATAAGGTCATATACCTGACATAAAAATTATTTAATAATAATAGTACCAATAATAATATAATAATAATAATAAATAATAATCAAATATAATATATAATCATCTAGATATAAAATCGATCGCAAAACGTGTTGGTTAAGCGCATAACTCCCAACAACGCCTGACCAAATTTGGCCATATCTTTTTTTTAAATGGTGTTTAAACTTCCAAGAGCATGGTTTTACGTCTCAGAAAAATTCGAGATAATTGCCGGAAAACCCTAAAACAGCCTTTTCCTTTTTCCCATGGCACACAACGTTTTCTAACATAAAACCGTAGAGTCAATTGAGCGTTTATTAGCAGTTGCATAAACACTCAGTGTTGTTTAAACACATGTAGTATGTTACCTAATGTCAAAGAGGTCAATTTGCACTTTTCACCATATACACAATTCAAATTTCTATCATATCCTATCAAAACAATGCTGCGTGTGTGCGTTGAAAGCACAGATGACACATCGTCTGGAGAGATTAATGTCGCGTTCCCGAAAACTATGATAACAATTATTAATGATAATATAGATAAATGTCTCCTATTACGACGAAGCAATTTAGCAGAAGAACACCGAAATGCTACAAACCAAGCATAAATTACCGCCCATCCAATAATTGTGCTCAAGAACGTGACGACCTCATGAACGTGAAAGAATTCGGATATCACAAAACGCGTGTAAGACGCGACACTACATTCAATCAACTAATAATCGCGTTTGATCGAGCTGCCTTTCAGTTACGATGTGGTCAATATGACTACAGTGACTCACCATGTGTTCGTTATCTGGTTCTCATGAACTCCGTTTGGCTCTTTTTTAAGCATTGAATATAAAAACGAAGCCTAATGGATTGTGTTGCGCAATATTGGTAAAGTCTGAAATTGATACCCAGTAGTAAACCACCACCAGAAGCCCATTTGCCTCATTAGTTCAGGCAAACCGGCGAACAGATTCCATACACTCTTTGACAAAATATCCAACAATATAACAATTGCTTTCACATGACATAAGATAAATCATTCACTAGCAAGAAATTTACAACCAACGCGTTGATATCAATTGAGACATGTGCTTATTCAATTAGTCCTGGCCGCCACCCAATCGTCCCAATGCATGACTTGCTTTTAACCCAAGATGAATCGAGAAAACAACTGTATATCTCCAACCACTTTTGGAAAAAGCAAATTACATTCAACTAAAAAATTCTTTACACTTTTGACCCACCCCGATGAACAACAGAAGTACTATTTGATACTCTTATGAAAGTAACAAATGATGAAACTGAGGATTTACTCTCTTCAGATGCACCTGGTGGTACAGGAAAAACTTTTTTGATTTCATTAATATTAGCAACGATTCGCTCACCAAAATAAAATTGCACCTTGCACTTGCTTCGTCGGAATCGCAGCAACTTTTGCTTGAAGGTGGTTCGAAACAGTCCATTCAGCATTAAAATTGCCATTTAATATGCAAAGCAATAAAACTCCGACTGCAACATTTCGAAGAAAACTCTGCAATGGCAAAGGTCTTTCCAGCAATGTAATTAATTTTTGGATGAATGCACAACGGCACATAAAAAAAATCTTTGGAGACTTTAGACAGAAAACTTAAAAGATCTACGGAGCAATCAATAACCATTTGTGGTGCAATGATTTATTAGCAGGAGATTTTCGTGAAACATTGCCAGTGGATCCACGCATCAACACCAGAATGAACTCAATACATGTCTAAAGTCCTCCAATGGTGAAACATGTCAAAGTACTTCATTTAAGCAAGAATATGCGTGTCGAGTTGCAAATGACCAATCTGGAAACATATTCTCTAAACAACTCATTGACATTGGTAATGGAAAATTTCCTATAGACATGTTGACTGGCAGCATTAACTTTCCTCAAAGTTTTTGTCAGTTAACTCGATCAAAAGATGACTTATTCAGAAGGTGTTTTCAGATTGTTTCTCAAAATTACAGAAACCATGATTGTTGAGCGAACGAGCTATATTGGCTGCAAAAAATATAGAGTAAATGAATTAAATTTAAAAATTCAAGAACAAATTACAGGCGAATCGAGGATTATATAAAACAGTTGATTTGGCTACTAACTAAGATGATGTAATGAACTATCCACCAGAATTTTTAAAACTCGCTGGATTTGCCAGGTGCCACCTCACAATCTTCAATTAAAGTTGGATCCGTAGTGATAATGTTGCGAAATATCAACCAACAACGTCTTTGCAACGGCACACGGTTTAGCGATAAAAAATTACAAACAATCTATACTGAAAGGAAAGTCAAAAGGAGAATCCTCATACCGGCGAATCCCAATGATTCCGACTGATGAGCCGTTTGTAATCAAACAAAAAACATTGTATATCACAAAGCACTACAATGAAAATAAAACTGATTTTTGTTAATAATTATGATTCACATGATTAACAATAAAGCGATTACTTACTTTTAAATGCTTATATATGTTTAATTTATATATTCTTATTCACACGCCTACATACCAGCTACCGGTTCTGTCAGGAGAATTTTTTTGCGTAGACTATAATATATGTAGGAACAAAAAAATTTCACATCTTTTTGACGGAACGAAGTTTGTCGGGCCCGCTAGTAATAATAATAATATAAAAACTTACTGATTCATAAAACATTAAGTTACACTAAGAGAAAGAAATTCTATCATCTTACTCCGCACTGAATGTTTGTACAATTAAGACCACACTGCACTATCACCTCACTGTGACTCTTAAATCGCTTCTTTCATTATTTATCTGCTCTGCACTGAACGACACCTCACTTCACAATACATCACTTATTATGTATCGCTGTATAACCTACTATTCTCAGTTAAGTCCCTCATTCACTTAGAAATACCCTAAATTAATTTCCTGAACTGTTGAACGCTTCGAGGAACGGGTTCAAAGGTTTTTGCAGGGATCTATTCCACTCTGTGATCGTTCGATTTGTGAAAGAATATTTTCCGACATCCGTTCTCTGCGGTCTTAGATTTATTTTGTGCATGTGATCTCCTCTACTGATGTACGTAGGAATAGAAGCCGATTAATTTCTTTCCAAGCTCGATGACCGCAGTAAGTTTTATAGAAAGCGCAGTCTTGCCACTAATGGCCTGTTTTCGAGTAAATCCCACCCTGACATTTTCTTGTCCCTAAAGTAAATTTAGCTTCCCTACGCTGAATACTTTCCAATTTTTTTTACACTAGCATAATTCGGTGCGAATCCTAAAAACAATTGTTCCATATTCCGTTAAAGTGATAAATAGCATTTTCCTTCGCGTTTACCGTTTGATGGACCCGCAGCAGTGTACCGAGTGCGACCCCGCCGCCGCCTGCCTCCGCGCCGAGGGCTGCCGCGTGCCTCTGGAAGGTGAGTCGGGCGTGCGTTGCTCCTTCGAGTCGACCTTCCCCTCGGCGGCCGGCAGCGCCCCGCAGCCCACTGTCAGGCCCGGAGGCAACGCCCCGGTCCAGCACGGGAGGATCACGACTACTTCCTGGGATACGCACATATGGGACAAATGATCCAGTGCTCGGGGACAAAAAAATAGTCAGCCAACACTGTAATTAAACTCCAAAGATCCAATTTGAAGAGATTGAAAACAAGAGCCACAAATTGATCGCATCACGTTATAAAGGAGTATTCTCCTTGGGCTTGAGTAGGCATATCAAGAATATTTTGCCCCAACATAGTTGTGTGTATTTTTGGTGGGGTGCAGGAGCAATTGTCAGTAAGAAATGTTTGTCAAGTTTCAATTGAGTTATGCATGGGCTTAACAAACATGAGCAAGAATGAGGATGCAATTGATTCTGCTTTGTACATATCCATTCACCCATGGTGCCAAGTACACAATTTCAAAGAAAGAAAGAAAAAAATTAGTTGATTCTCTTCTTTTGCAGAAAAATTTCTGAAGCCACCACTTACCTCCCATTCACTGTGAAATCACAAGCATTTCCACACATCTTAATTGTCAATGAACTTTGTGCAAAGGGAGCAGTTTTCTTTGTCTCAGACATTCCTCTTACACTTTATCTCTATATTCACAGTATTGTAAAAAGAAGAATATATTCATAATAGAACGGGTAGGAAGGGTGCAGATATGCCTTGACAAGAGGCAGAAATAAAGTGAAATAAGAGGTTGATTAAACAAAATGTGTATGTCTGTGTGTAATTGTATATTTTTAAACTTGTTTTCTTGTTTCACAGAACCATTAATTTTTTTCTTGAAATATACTTCAGTTCAGGTGACCAAACATCCTGTGTTTAACGGGATTGTCTTGAAGAAGCTTTAACAGGAATCTAATTGTCCCTTCTCCTAATGTCATGTCCTGTTTATTATACAATTGATGCTTTTATTTCTATTTGATGCATTAGTAAGAATTCTCAAAATGGCAACCCTGCCAGCCACATATCAGAGTATATTGTTGTAGGCATCTCTAGCACTTTTCTTTTGACAGAGATGCCTATTGGCAACAATATACTCTTGATGGAATGCCAAAGAAATTGCATGTTACATGAACATTTAATGTCTGTTTATAATATTGTTGAACCTTAAGTAAAGCAGCTGTAAGCAAAGGGGTAGAATTTATTCTCACAATTCCAGGAACTAATCATAATGCATCCATGGAAACGGTACTTTCTTTAATAAATACTTTATGGCCTGACAAAAACAACTGTTTGTTGACTGTCCCAGCAATGACTATTGTTAAGAAACACTATCATGAGAAATCATGAATTGAATTCCAAGATTACATTGTAAATAATGTACCACTTTTACAAAAAGTAATTTCTGCAAATAAATACTTGTAATAAATTTAAAACTGCAGACTTGTTTTCTTTGAATTTCTGCTATTCATTTCTATTAAGGTTTAAAAATGTAGGTTACTTTTATTACCAGTATGTAACATTGCATTTTTTGTTGTACATGTGTCCTGTTTTCAAGTCAAGAAAATGTCACACTGTCTTGTTTTTTGGGGTTTAATATATGGTCACCCTAGTTAACAATGAATTTTCTTTCTTCATTTGATAGGATGTCTTTCACATTTTCTACTTATAACACTTTTATTCTGCACTCTGCAAAGCTGGGCAAATAATACCAAAACAAATCCATTGAGTGAGAAGCTGCACTGTCTTTAATTTAAAAATTTTACCAGAACTGTTAGTTCCTTGGTCCATTTATCACTCAACATTCAAGTATAAAAAGTAAAGTTTTCTTAATGTTACATGAATAGACTTACGTTTTATATTCACTTGAAATACATTATTAGAGAAGTAGTGGTATTATAATTGCACTATCATAAAAGTAAGAAGTCAGTTCAACAAGTAACAAGATTTGGAGGCTTGACCTTCAGTTATGTTTTCTTAAGTAATATTTGGAAGAAGAATCCCTTGGTCCTCAGTTCTAAAATTGCACCCTGTGACTCTTCAAGCCACACTAGTCAATCTATGAACTATATATACACATTTTTATTACAAAATACTTCAATAGAGAATACATATCAAAATATTTTTTTCTCAACATTTCAATGGCTAAATTTAAAAATGTACATTTTCAAAGGAGTGCCTGCACTCAAATAGCCTCTGAAATTTTAATATACAAATGAAATAACACTTTGTTCTTCACAAAATAGAAATATTAAATTTAGACAGAGTAAATGTTTATAAACTTTCATAACATATATACAGTAATACTGTCAATAGATTAAGTACTGGAGATACAATTAAAAATACCCAATGCTACTTAAGCATTGGTCAAGCATAGAACAAGGTATGATAGAAAATGAAGGGTTGCAAATAATGCATTTTGTAACAAAGTTCATTACATGAACAAAACTCATGAGATTTGGCAGAACAATACATTCATTAGTGAAACTGCAATGTTTGAAAAATAACTATATTACATAAATTATTATTTTTAAACAATCAGTCACTTCTTACTTAGTACATCAAACTTGCTATTCACATAGTATTGTCTTATTTGCATTAAGTCGCAATCACCACCGATTATAAGCACTGCTATGCTAACGAGTAACTTGGTGTGGGGGGGTGTATGAAATGAAGTTTCAATTATTCTAAATAAATTGTGCAAATTTGTCATGGGAAAACTGGCACAGTTGAGGCACTACTTATTTAAAACTTTCAGACCTATTGGTCCTCATCTATCTTACAATAAAACATTACAAGAGATGTTCTCTTGAGTGTATAGACAACATAAATCCATAGTGTTTCTCATCTTGAGAAGATCGTGATGAATTTGAATATCTTTTTTGGAAGGAACTTATTGTTTTCCACCTCACATTCCAGACTCTGCAATGCCCTCATCATCTGCAAAATATAAATATTTAATATTAACTTTAATGAAGTGTAATGTGATGTGATAACTTTTGCATTTGCTACAACCTTCATGCACCTCAATCATCAAGAAAGACCATCATAAATACTCATGCTAGGCCAAGGAATCATGCAGGTCACAAAGTCATGCAGGTTCTCAGGTACCTTTTTCTTGTTTCCTCTTCCCTTAAGTTTACACAGCATCACAACCCACCACCTTCACCATAGGTGTCAGAAGAAAAGCCTCTAATGGCTGTCACCACCTCAACGAGAAGGACATTGTCCAACTCGCCTAAAATAACAATAATACTTCAACAAATATTTTATCAGTTTCTTTAGTGATTGTTTTATTGCTTTAATGATGCACAACACTGGCAGAAGAAAGAAGTTTACAAAGAAATGATTCTTTGTGTAATTGACTACAATTCAATAAAGCCTTAATTTGGAATTTGGCAAGAAAATTGAAGTCTCTAATAACAATTAGGATAAGACAGTGTTTTAAATCTTTTGTGCACTGCAGCACAACATGCCTCTCTTTTCAAAATATTGTTTGTTTCTTACGTAAAAAATGTGAAAGCAGTGTAAACCATGAATTATTTTATGTCGTTGATTAGTAATTTGCTACTAGAAGATACAAGCATGAGAATCATTAGTCAGTATTTTGTTAGTGTGTTATATAGGTCTCATTAACACAATGGCAGTAGTTCACAACAGTTATGAATATAGTAGTATTAATTTGTTTCATACTGAACTATTTAATTATCCAGGAGAGTATTTCAAAACTGCATCTCTTAATACATTACTTTTTATTGAACAGAGAGCTATTCTTTTTTGCAATACTGACAAAAGTTATTGGGACATAATACAAGCTGATTTTTAATTGTTATTGAAAGTTCTTCGCAATAAAGTACATTATTTTGGATTCATGTTGCATTTAAGCTAAGACAGTATGGAACACTAGCCTTAAACAGAAAAATAATTTAGAAATAATTGTAACAAAATTTGTATTTGGGAGGATTTTATTAATAATTGTAATTGTAGACTGTTCTACCTTTCCTTTATTGTGAACTTTCTTTTTTCTTTCTTTCTTGCTTCTCTCTGAAATTATTTATAACTAAACTCAAAACTCCAATTACTTTTCCAGTAATTTTTTGACAAAGATGGACTGTTATGGGAACTATTCTTACCAAGCAGTAATCCTTTCTGCCCTGTGAATGAGACTATAGATTAAAGAAGAAAGAAACAAAGAAAAACAATATAAAAAGACAGGCATAGGAATGGAAGGTTTACCCATGAGTAGAAAGACCCTTCACCACCATTGATGAATCCATTTCACCTCTGCTTCTCTATGGCAGATAAGCCGCATTCGGGCCCAGCTGACCGTGAGTTCTTGCCTATAAGCAACACAGAGCTGCACACAGCTCGATGGGCCGGTCCGATACAAAACCCAGTCACCCAGATATTGATTAACTACTTCCCATTTCTAAAGCACTGAAGAGATTTCCATCACCACAACAAAATATCAATAAGAATTGAGTTTTCCAATTAAAATGTTTATTTGTGTTCTCTCAAACCAAATAGACTAGAGATATAGGTAAGTGGCAGTCAATCACATAATTAACCAATCACTAGTCGATGTGTCAGTCAGTTGGTCCATTGGTCAGTCAACCAGTCCGACGGGCAATTACACCCTATCAACATTCACTCAGTCAAATGACAAGTAACTCTTCAGTCAGTACAAATCACTACTGTAGTAAAAAAAAGATCAACAAAATACATAGCGTTTGCATGAATTAAGTCTGTTCTGCTACATTTCTTACAGACATGAACATAAACTGAAATGTTTTCTTTTACTTACAGAAACTTGAAAAACTTGTGGGTACATTTATTCTACATTATACAAGAAATACTGAAAATAAGGAATAATACAAATATTGCATTATTGTTCCTCCATTTACCTTCAAAGCCCTGGTTGTCATGAACTTCTCTGGGAGGACCTTGATTCTCGGAACCTTCAAGCACAGCTAGTAAGCACTGATGAATGCAAATATACTGCTGTTCAGTCTGTACCATCCACACACGCTCCTTGCGCATAGCCCACACAATGCCAAAAATATCAACATGATCTTGAATAGTGATCTGTTGGAGTATGCTATCAAGAGCAATGAAGGTTCCAGAACGACCAACTCCCGCACTGCAAAATAAGAATCAGGAATATGAAAATACTTTTTAATATAATTGTAATAAAATTCATGAATTCACATTTGAAAATCTTTAAAAGAGATGCAAATGTTCTTAATAAGATCTCATTAACATTATTTTTCTTTTACACTGATTTTGCACTTCATGTTTATTTTCATGAAAAAAAGTTAATGTACATTGAGATTATAAAAATTAATATGAAAAATCTCTTGTTGAAGATCAATGGTCAAGGTAATTTAGGAACTAAAGTTTTTTTGTATGTTTTTTAAGTATTTCAGTACATTCTTTTCAAAATATCAATTATAAAAATTTTTAAACAGTTTTTTAAGAGCTCATACAAACCTGCAATGAACAACAATGGGTTTCTGATCTGGACCAACACGCTCTCGAAATGCCCTTACAAAACGCACCAATGTTTGTGGGGGACTAGGTACCCCAAAATCAGGCCAGGTGGTGAAATGAAAGTGCCTTATAATGCGTGTTTGATCACCCTAGAAAAGGATAAAATATTAGTCATAAACAAATTAAGGAAATGTCATAGCAATTTTGCACAATAAGTTACTTACACGGCACATCATAAATTCAGTAACATTCCAATCAGGGTAGTGACTGTCATTTAGAGTTGTGACACAAATATCTCCATAATACACTGGTAATGTGTCATATGGCCAGTAATGATCACATTTCTCTCTTCCTTTCTCAACGCAACGCGTTAACATAACAATGGCACGTGAATTGCTTTCCCAACACATCCTCCAAAAGTCATCTCTAGTTGAATGTAAAGGTCCTTGAGTAACCAAGAACTCACGAGGAGAATTATGACCCTACAAGAAAAATTGAATTATGTTAACATTCATTCAAATTTCTTTCTACTTAGATACTAACATGAACTTGAAAAGAACTCGAATTTATTCATATTACGAGATTATTTACATTGAGTAAAGATATAAAAATGAGTCAAAACAACACAATTTTTCTATCACAAATTACAAATCATTCTATTAAATTTAAATCTTGTTCTTAAGTTAATTATGTAGTACAGTAGACTCTTATTTTCAAGGCAATTCGGACTTAAACTTCCTTTGGTACAAAAAGGAGAAGTTAATTTGGGAATGGATCATTGAAAAATAAAGTAATCTAAATATATTTAAATGTTAAATTATGCAACTTTCAATATATATGTACATATGTCAAAAATTAAACACATATCCAATAAAAACTTGTATAAAAAAGCCAAACAAAGTTTGATGAGTGAAACTAATGATTATTGAATAGAGAAGTCCCAATAGTCCTTGAAACAGTGATGGCATTGCTCATTGCAAAAGCTGGCTCATTACTATTGCAATTATTAAATTATATCTTTTTATTTAATATAATGTTTCTGATCATGTGTAAATTTTCATAGGTAAATGTGTCCAACTAATTTTTTTTTGAGGCAGTTAATGTTTATAATTAACATCAATACACGAGTTCTAGGTTTTGAATATTATTTATTCTGAACGTTTTGAGCATCTGTTTGTGCTCATCTTCAAGAAGATCTGTAAAGATACAGCATTACAATTATGAATATGCCATTATACATTAATTCATGGGCAGGTCCAGAGAGGAATTTTGCCAGGGGAAATTTTTTTATTCAAAATACTAATACAAAAAATTGGTAGTATGTGTCATATTATGTAGAATGACACAGGCTAAACTCAGCTCTTGTCGCAATACAATTTTATTCATTTTAATGTTTATATGAAAATATTTTTGCTTGAAAGTTTTGTGACAAGTTAAAATTAATAGTTACTGAAAATTTTTGGGAGGGAAAATTTCCCTCATTATCCTCCTCGTAAATCTGTGCCTGATTAATTACGTTATTTTGAACAATTAAAAATTTATATGCGAGTAAAAGAGTTCAAAAAAACAGAGCACTTTTAAAGTCATATTAAGGTTGTGAACATCTATATTCACATCTCAATATGAAGCAATGTTAGTTCAGCAATGTCAGAAACAGCACCATTTTGTGGACTTCACACCTCCTCAAATAAAACATAAATTTTTAATTCATCAAATTAATGTAATTAACTTATAATGGCATGTTTGTAATTGTAATGCAGTACTTTTATAGATCTTCCTGAAGATGAACACACACAGATGCTCAAAACATTGAGAATAATTAATATACAAATCCCAGCATTCATATATTGATGTAAATTATTATAAACATTGACTGCCATTAAAAAAATAAGTTGGACGCAATATATTCTTGTATGTGGTTCTTCAATGGATTAATTAGTTGACTTTTTCAGATGATTGCCTTCGTTGATCTGGAGACATAACGGTGATATTCCGAGTCTACTGAACTTCATTAATAATAAATTAATTATGTACTTACTGGAACATAATTTGCATTTATATAATCAGATCCTTCCTCATCGTCTACAGGTTGCAATTTAAAGCGGGAATGGTCATATGGCAAAATGTTGGTGAATCTATTCTTGGGACGATTGCATGGGAGATCAGCAGCAGTACATGGTTGCTCTCTTCCCACATGTTTTAGTTCTTCAAATTCTTCAGAGAACCGAAAATCTGAATCTGCTGACATTATGCGATAGTGTTCAGCAAACTTGTCCAAACGAATTGGCCGACTGTAAGAAGAAAAGAAAGGTGTAAAAAACGCTAATAATGACAAGAAAATATTCAATAATGTAATATTTTGTAATAAAATATATTAACCTAGTTTCAATAATACTATCTGGCAAAGAAAGACTATCATTGCCACGTGTCTCTGCAGCACGTCTTCCCACTGTTCTTCTCCTTTTCAAGATAAAGATAGTTATTGCTAAAAGCAATACAATAACAACTGGCACTCCCACTCCAAGGATAATATGGGTATTGTCTGCATCTAAAAGATAATTTAAGATTTATATAAACAAAGATATCAACAACTGGTGATCATTATTGAATGAATTATTGAAACTTTTCTATACCTGTCTGAATTGGGAAGGAATATGCAGTGTCAGTGAATTTATCAGGAGCAGTAAATGCTCGAACTTTCACTCTATATGTTGTGCCAGGCTTCAAAGGGCCATTGCAATACCCCAAACTACGTACATCACAGCTGTCACGTCCAACAATGAAATCCTCAACAGTGGCATTAACAAAGGGAAAATAAGGTTCCATCACCTGTACAAAGAGAAGTACGTTATCATAGCAGTGCAAGCCTAAGTTTCATAACATAAAGCACACTTCTTGAGTAGTAGCTTACCTGATAAGGAGGCCACACACTGTACGCCTGAACATCTCTCCAACTGGGCATTTCAAGTCCTGAAGCATTCTTTGAGTTGTCTTCAGCCACAATTACTGTATAAGAAATAACCTAAGATAGGGGAAAAATATTAATATATCATATTTTTATTTGAAAATTAAAAATATAATTCATTAATTGAATATATTACTTACAGCTCCATTCTTATCAGAAAAGTAGTTCTTGCGATAGCGAATTTGAATAGTTTTGGATGTGACGCTCACTTCCGATGGAACCACTCGAGGTCCAGGAATTGGAGGAGCTAACAAAACAGAAAACAAAAATTCATTATTTCTTTCATTCTAAAATTCATATCTTTTCTTTTTTATTGTTGTTGATGATAAATTTTGTTGACAGCTTATACTATTACTTTCTCACCAAGAATAGGCATTTTCTGTTTCCAAACAGCTTCTGGTCCATAACCTACTCGTGTTTCAGCCTGAATTCTAAATAAATAGGTCTTCCCAGGAATTAAGTTGCGAATAGTTCCACCTAATTCCTGAGATCCAAAATCTCGCACTTCTGTAAGTGTTGATCCCTATATATCAAGAGAAATCAAATTATTTTTCAGATAAGATTATTAAAAGTATCATAATTGCAAAGAGATACAGATAATATTCATTTAGATATTCTTCAATATTGATTTAGAAAATGAAACATGCACTAATTATGAGTATTGTGAAAAGTTGACAGTGAAAACAGGTTTACCTCCAGACCATAAGTGATGGAGAATTTGAGTATCACTCCATTTTGTTCATTTGATGGTAACATCCAACTAAAAGTTATATCTGATGGTTGAATATCTTCTGGATGAAAATGTTCCACCTAGAGCACAAATTAATACGGTATGTAATATCAATCCTTTACCATAATTGAACAAAATTATGGTAAGTAATGAAAATATATTTGTAAAGCTTACCTTGCCAGGCACAGATTCATGAGTAGAAAATGTTTTACTGATAGGTAGAGATTTTCGTAATATAGATGATTCAGTGCCTGATCTCACAGTTACAGTGAAAGTATAATTCCAATGTGGACGTAGTTCAGTTATGGTAATGGAGTTATGCCGGGTAACATTATTTACTAATGCTTGTTCAGCATTTAGATATGAAACTTCAAATTCTGTATAATCTCCAGTAGGAGGATCCCACACAAGTGTGATCATTGTATCAGTTATAATTGTAGCATTTATATGAGAAACACTTTCTGGGTCTGAAAAAAAAAATAAAATAAAATAAAAAAATATTTAAAAAAAATAAAGAAAAAATAACAAAAGTAAACTTCCAGGTATTGTAGGATGAAGGAATGTAAACAAGAAAAATTCATTTTGAACCTATTGTACTATTTAAAAAACAAGGTTATAGGTTTGATAGTAGTTATATTAATTATTTTAGTAATATGAGTAAAACGTTATTAACTGAAGAAATATTTCATATCATATAAAACTAAGTTATGTATTTAACTGTTACGCTTAGCATATTACTCTTAATTCTAAGCACTGTTTGCAGATAAACATTTTGTTAAAAAAAAGAAACAAAAACAAAACAACAACATGGTTAGCATTTCTATGACATGTACACAACAAACTTATTCCTCAGGAAATCTTAGTTAAATATAGTTAATAAATATTTAATTTACCCAAATATAAGTTTGAGCATCAAATATAAGACGATCCCCAATTGATGAGGCCTCCGAGAATTTTTTTTTTTTTTTTTTCTTTTTTTCATTTATCTATTCACAATTATAATAAAAATGGTATTAAAACTGCCACTAAAAAGTGTGTCCTATTTGTGCACTTAGCTGTTTTTTCTTCTGTTTTCACCCGCCACTATCAATCCATTCCATCATCATCATCAACAAACAACACTATCACTACTTTGTTCATCTTCACTTGTATTGTTTTTTTCATCCTTGTCCTCCTACAGTAGGTCATTTTCTGAGCATCAACTGCATTGGAAATAGAGTCCTTTTTGAAGCACTTCGATTCTATAGTGAAGGTCTTCAATATAGATTCACTGGGGATCTCATTGCACACAGTAGCTATCCATTCTTCCAGCTTGTAAACTGAGGGATTCCTTAATTTCCCTCTAGGAGTGAGGGCATGGTTTTATTGGAGGTGATGCTTGAATGGTTTGTTTACATCAACATCTATTGCTTGAAGATGAGATGTCATCTCATCAGGAGTTATTTCTAGGTCTGGGTTACTTTTTTACAATCAATTCCAAACTTCTTGTGTGATGTATTCCTTGAAATAATCTAGCGCCAGCATTCCTCTCTTTTTCCACAAATAGCTTGGCATTGTCTTCCAAACAACCTTTAACCAATCTAGCTTAATGGTCATCCACCTTTTCTTAATTGTCGTTCACCTTTTCGTTGGCAGTTTATTTTGTTATTCTTTTCCTGTGCAGTATCACATACGGGCAGGAGCGGATCCAGTTGATCAATTTGCGGGAAGCCATCGTAGATTATTTTCTAAGTTCTCTTCCGGGCTGAAGGGCCGTGGTCTATTGGAAGACATAGACCACGGCCCTTCAGCCCGGAAGAGAACTTAGAATATAACGCCGGCCGTGAAAGCCTACAGTGTTTTATTATCCATCGTAGATTGTTGTTAAATAATAAACTTTTTGTTATTATATTGTACATTATTTATGTACTGTAAATATGATACTATACAATATTATTGTTTAAATAATTATATAATTCGGACATAGATATTTAAATCAATTTTGCCAAATAAAGAAAGGGGAACGAAAACTATTGGCCTTTTGGGGGATGGGGCCTGCCCCCCGCCTTCCGCTTGGATCCGAAGGCAGCTTCCGGCCGGTACCTACAGCACATAGCCCACAGCACAATGGTTATTCTGGCGTTTTCATTGCTGGTGTTTCAGAAGTATACTCTTTTGGTCCATTTGGCTTCAACTGTTGCTTTTAATGGCACACTATCAAAATAAACGGGCGACTAGTTAGAATTGCCAATTTGACTGAGCAGATAGCCATATCTTTCCGTAGTTTGAGAATATGACGCTGGAGGCCAATTCATTTTTTTCTTCAAAAGTCGCTGAGCTAGCGTAATCCTTCGCCGAAATGTCAGACTAGATCTTTTCATCATTCTTACGCCCATACTCATACAAGATTATCCTTTCACTCAAGTGCCTTCATTCGGATAATTTCTCGAGAGATAGGGAGTCTTCATTGCGTTTCATTACAGATACTCCACAAATTGCTGCTCCAACTTCGGAAATCTTCGCATTTTGGGTCCTCTAAAAGATTTATGCGATCTCTCATTTGTCTTATCTGACGCTACCTACGAATATTTATTTCTGTGACATCAAAGTTTCTTCCAGCCACGCTGAAGTTGGTGGTCTCAGCTTCTTTAGGGACCATTAGCTCAAAATTCCTATTGTAACGTCTAGGCGATCCAGTTGTCAACTGCGAACAAACAAGCCCCAGTACCCAGAGGCGTATCTTGGCATGGTAGACATGGCACGTGCCATAGGCGCCACTCACAAATGGCGCTATTTAGAGTATACCCGCTAAAACAAATAACAACCCTTATTTGAAGTGCATTCTTGGCTATCCGGGATGAGCCGCGTCTCGGTCAATTGTACTGACGTTTCGGCCATCTTGCTGTGGCCTTCTTCAGAGCTATACAGCTGAAGCCTTTTTTGAAGTATCCTGATGGGTGCAAATTCTACGCTTATCATGGTCGCCTGAATACTTAGATAAGCCTCGACCCGCACCTCCAAAGAATTCCGGCCACAATTTCCATTCATTTATCTGTTGCTTTTTAACTTACAATGTCATTCTTTCATAATGTCACTTTAATAAATATTTGTCTGAGTTGGAAAGGCACGTCGCATTGGACACCACGAATACAATTCAACACGCGCCAGTGTCTGAAACACGACTACCCGAGCATGGAATGCGAGTCCATATACCTCTAAACGGGGAATCAGTTCAGTTTTCATCGCAATTGTAGTATTAATACTATGTCATGACAACTCCGGTCAGTCTTTCTGATGACAAGGGTGTTGAGAAGCAGGTAATGAATAAGAGTGCAATCAGGGCGCGTGCCAGCAGCTACACTATTACTATTGAGATACATTCTATTTGTTCTTCCGATATCCTCTGAAAGCGAACATCGCGCAATACTCAAGTGTTTTGAGATTCCGCGGCGCCTTAACTAAGGGATAGATGAGAGCGGCCTTTGAAGCGTTTTGTTTTGTCAGCTTAAAATTCGTATTGTAACGTCTGGGCGATCCAGTTGTGAACTGCGAACTCGCAACTGTGTGTTTTTCAGGACTGAAAGACAGTGATTCTCATCGACTAAGCTGAATCTACGAGTTTAATAGGATCCCCCATTTTTCGAATCAAGAATTCTGGAAACAAACTCGTTTTATATCTGAGTAAATAAATTAAATAAACAACTTATTTGTAATTGTCAGATAATTGGTAGGTAAATATGGCTATATTAATACATTTTTTTTTTTTTTTACATGCAATACGAAATTTATTCTGTTTTTAAAAACAGATCACATAATCTAATTAGATTTTAGAAATAATAATTTTCACCATTTTATTACTTGAGAATCCACAATATTTGTTTTGGAATACACTTACATAGTCTGTCTTGTCGCTGCAATGGTTGAGAGAGACGATTCCCAGATACAGTCCATAGAGTAATGTTATAGAGTCGGCCAGGAACAAGCCCTTTGAATGTTACTTTCATATCAGTATCATTTGAAGGCTTTTCTTTGATTTGAACATTAGGATCTGATAACTGAAATCTGTATCTATCAAATCGAGATGAAGCAGGAGGTGTTGGGGTATAGCGTAAAGTTACTTCATCAGTCAATTGAGGGTTATTGACTACTACAACTTCAGACTGGATTAATGGCACTACAGGAACAAAAACAAACACAAAAATTATATTATTTTCACACCATTAAAAAGTTCAAAATTATGACATGAATTAATAGGTTTCACTCATTGTATTTTAACTCTTGTAGCTTGTACTTACTTGTTCGCTCATAAAGCACAGTATTATCTGACTGTAAACCATATGATTCTGTATGGATACGGAAAGTGTAATTTAACCCAGGAGTAAGATCACCAATTAAAACTCTAACTGGTCTACCCTCTTCAGTATTATGTTCAGAACGAGGGTTCACCATCTGTTCAGTCACATTTCGCACCTGAACAAATTCAGGATCATCTACAGCTTGCCAACGCACTATGTACCTTTCAACTCGACCTTCTGGTCGAGGCCATTCCAAAGTTACATTAGTGGAATCCACAAGAGGAGCAATGTTTGAAACAGGATTTGGACCTAGAATGACAGTAATACTTCTGTAGTAAAACAATGTGATGTGATGAACACAAAGAAAACAAAATATTTTTTCTTGGCTGCAAGTTTTCATAAAGGTTTGTAGCCTTAAACAATCATATCAAATACTTACGGATTGTATGAGTCACTTCTTGTGGGTGAATACTTTCAACACCAAATGATGCTGTAATAACTTGAATATGGTATTTTTCTCCTGGAACCATGTCAATAACCTCTGCCTCAAATCTTGTTGATGGATCAAATGGAACCCATGTGTCTTCTGATTCAGGTCGTGATCTACAAAATTCACATTAATAAAAAATTTAAGAAATATTAGTAGTTATAAAATATTTATTAACAATGCACTTTAACTTACTTCACAATAAATTCTTGATACAAGGAATCTGTTGGAGGTAACCATCGCACTACTACAGAGTTACTTGTGACTTTTTCTATGGTGACGTTTTGTGGAGGATGTGGATCTATGAAGAAAAAAAATTATCTTTCTAAGTGAACTCATATAAGTTTACTCTTTTTGTCATATTATGTCCTTCATAAATCAACCAAATTTCAACATTTATCATTAAATTACCATTAAATTATGAAATTATGAACGTATTTTATGTTCTATAGATACCATTTTTCAAAAACAAGTAATGTAAAACAATACCACAAAAGTATTAAAAACACATTTCTAATACTTACAGACAGCTTGGAAGTGTGCATGTGGTTCTGATCGAAGACCATGACTTAGTGCAAAAACTTTGACTTCATAACCTGCTCCCGGATACAAGTCACGTAAAATTAAACTGCTCTCAATTGTCAAAGTTGAGACTGCTTCATCGGTGTCATTGCGCTTGTAAACAACTTCAAATTTCTCTTGACGTGTTTTAACATCTGATTTCCATGATATATTGAGTCCTCTTTCAATTGGTGTAATAGTTCCAATTATTGGTGAGAAAGGACCTGTAGAAAAAAACAATGTACATAATCATTATTAATCATACATCTCATAATTCTCATATGAAACTTTATGTCATTTATTCATATTTTTCTGAGTGAAAATCTTACACCTATGGATATATTTAGACCTGAAAGAGTCCATTCTCTATAGTCAAATAAATTAATAATGCAGTTTAAAACTCATTTCTAGCTAATTATTTACTTCAATATTAATATATTTTTAATTATAATTAAAATATTCTAAGACATTTAGACTTAAACTACAACATATATCCTAAAACTGACTTACGAGTCGCTTGATACACAAGAGTTTCATTGCTCTCTACTCCTCCACTGACAGCAACAACACTGATGGAGTAATTTCGACCGGGTAATAAAGATTCTAGACGAATAGGAGGATGAATTTCCTTCAAGACATTGCTGTCTCCATTGAAAGAAGAGTCCACTTCATGATATGTCAACTAAACAAAAAATTAATTTTTAGTGCGAACAACACAGCACAATACAGCAACACTAACTATTTATTTGAAAATACATACAGAAGCAGGGAGAATCCAAATGTAGGCATTTCAGGAGAAAAGTAAATTTTATTAAAAAAAGCATTAAGTATTGGTATTTATCTATTTCATACATGACAAATGAGATATCTTTATATATAACTGTGAACAAGCTTATTTTATTTAGTATACTACACGTATGGCAGGATTTAAGCAACACAAGAAAAGAACTAGCATCCAAAAATACATAAGCTTTCTACACTAGTAATACACATGTTTATAGGAATTCAATATTTGCTGATAAATCATTCACAAAATTATTCTCAATTCAAATTGTTTGCCTCTGTCATATACATGGAAAGAAATACCATACTTCTCAGTTGAAATACAACAAATTAAGGTTACACAGGAATTTGACAAAGTATTTCATTTATTTCTGCATAAAATAATTTGATTGAGGGCAATATCTTCAATATTTATTTCAGACTAAATAGTTTCTACAAGAGACAATAAGTTAGAGCTTTTGTTTAACATTCTATGTGTAAATTGTATTATCTGATTTTGTAGCAAGTAATTTAGTGAATACTATGTTATATTCAACTTGCTTGTTTTATTTTCTCATCCACAAAGATCTGTGCTCTATTACAAAAATTGTGTTAACATTCTGCTCACCTTGTATGACTCCTGGTGACTGGAATTGTCAGGTGCCCATGACACACTGACAAGCCCAGAGCCCTCATCCATAGATGCCTGAAGATTTCTCACAGGCAGAGGTTCTGCAGAAAGTCAGTGAAATCATTAAAAAAGAAAAAACTTAATTATTCATCAATTCATTCACACTTTACCCTAGAAGTCATTGAATATGGAAGTATTTAATTTGCGACTTCTTAGTTACAATATATCACAATAATTATTAACAATAATGCAGGTTTAATATTGTATACTGTTTTAAACTTTTATACTTCTCAGTTATCATGTTACACAGTTTAACATATTTCAAAAAAAAAGTTTATTTGTATAGGTTGCTTATAATTACTTTTTGTTTATGTACATATATATGGAACCATATAGGTAGAATAGAGAAAATTGCACAATGCTGCAGAAAATTGACTTTGAGATTTTGTGAGATACTTATCAATAACATGAAAAGTGTAGTTATTTTCAGTGAGGATGTCTTACAATGTTCAAATGAGTGGCATGATATTTGGAATGGGAAAGATTAATTGCTCTATCAATGAAATTAAAGACTACACTAATTTTGTGATGAGTCTGAGCTGAAAAAAGTTAAGCATGCAACCAGTGGCACACTCTTTTTGAAACCAATTTGTTGCTTTAAAGTATTATTTAGCATGATAGAAATGTCTAATTTAACGGACCATCGGTCAATCAATCTAATTGATCAATGGTCTATTACATTATTTCCATGCATACACATATTACCTTTTTGTTCACAACTGATGATGTGTATAAATATTATGAAAAATGTTGTTTTCCAGTAATATATGGACAATAAAACATTATTTTGAAACCTTCCTTATTGATTGTTTAAAAAGAAAAATGATACCGAGGGATGAATTATTATTGTATATGTGAGTAGAAGTGTTTCAAGTAATTTTCAATCAAGTTTCCGCCAAACTCAAAAGTTTTCTGTGAAAATGTGCTTAAATTGTGCATTTTCAGCATCATTGAAATGATTATAAGTATTAAATGTAACAAAATTATTAAATGTGTTATTAAGGCAAGACTGTCCATGAAAAGGATTAAATTATCATTTTTTAAATAAATAGTTCAGTCTTCACTGTTTAAAAATATAATGACTTTTTTTATTTTGTTTTTTGGGACCTGTGAGCCCTTTACTTAAATTCTTACTTATGTGGCATATGATCACCATCTTTTGACACTGCAAACACAAACAGTGACTTTTTTTTAACTTTGGCATGGTTTGTTTTGTTTTGAGTTCTTGAAACACAAAGTTGGTAGTAGAGATATTTTTGTATGTAAATTGTTTTGTGGTGCCATACTCATTTGAAAATATTTCTCCAGAAGTGTTCTAATCCAGCTGTGATTAAATATGTATCTTTAAGAGTGCAATATAGCAAAATTTTATAATTTTCCATTTTCTAGAAAAGAGATATCAAAAATCACTAATTTAACACAATATAACGTATCAACGAAGTCTCTCCTCGAAGCTATATTTTCGTTCTCCTTGTAGTATGTTTTATTAATTTACTTTTACATGTGTTTAAAATATGATTATAAAATGGTGGGAAAAGGAAGCCAAGAAACGTAAATTGCTCTCTCATCTTGTTTTCGGCTACTTGTGCCTATACTTTTCTTTATGGTAATTGAATTGAACATTGATTTGATTGAACAACTACTTCGTTATTTGCAACTGAATGTTTTGCGTAAACCCTCAAATGTTTCACACTCAAATTGAGAGTGGTGAGGCCCAAAGATGGAGCTATTTTACGGGGGGAGGGCCCCCCCGTAATATGGGGGGGGGCGCAATACTTAAATCCGGCCCTGACTATTCTTCAGACAGTTTTGGAAAATTAATTCACTTCATCGTGCGTATAACCCGCTCCATTTTTGTTGATACTTTTTAGGGTGAAAAAGGAGCGGTTATTTTTCGAAAAAAAATGCTGTACGTGCGGTTGGTCGAGTTTACGAGCGACGGTACTTACTGAGCGTGACGTTGACGGTGGCAGGCCAACTGGTGACTTTGCCCGACACCGTCTTCACCACCACCTGGTAGCTGCGGCCCGCTTCCAGGCCCTCGCGGAACTCCACCGTGGTGGGCTCGTCGCGGCCCAGGGTCACCGGCGTCGGCCGGCGAAGCGACAGCATCACCTGGTACTTGTCGAACTCGCTGCGAATCGAGACGCGTCCACCACATTCATAAGCAAAATCTCACGCTGGATTTCCTTTAGCTGGTTTAAGGTTCACATAGGGGAAAATAATAAATGGAAATGGAAATGCTTCAAGAGCCAGATTTATGTTGTCACTCAATTATATTTTAAAATGATTACATCTCACTGTCACAGTAAATAGTAGTTCTTCGCAAATTACTTATTATGTAAAATCACTGTTTTGTAATTTCATAATTAATCCAAAGCACTTAGCTCGACCTGCAGGTCCAATTAGGAGGAACATATTATATTAAATAAAAATTAGAATGTATCCAAGTTATGGCTAACATTTAACTGCGAACTGTTAACGTGGTGGAAGGAGGATAGAGGCCATGCCCAGGTGCCTCCGACCCCCACTAGCTTGGCTGCGGCTTGCTAGCCACATTGTAGTAGGAACTTCCGAATAAACAACAACATATAATATGCAAGTCTCCAGCACTAACTCAGCACGACGCGGCCCCTCTTGCTGGTATTTTCAGCGTCATTAGGACACTCACAAAGTTCCCCCACCACCAACATCACACAATTTGTTTAAGTTGTCACTAAATATTATCGACTTTAAACGACAATGTCTTCGTGATGACTAAGACATCGATTGAAGCTTATTAAATTTGTAAAACGTTTATTAAGACATCGGCACGAGTAATTTATTCCCAAAACACTGCCAAAGCTACATTTTATGCAGTGGATCCTGAATAGGTCTTAGGTAAACGTTTGAAAGCGTACGTATGTGCACGACATCTGGATTTAACAATCTCAAATTTCTTCAATTTTTAAAACATTTTTTTTAATTTCTCAAACGCCACATTATTTTAAATGATTAATTTTTATTTATAAGGATCATGTTTTGGCGTAGTGACTAATGATGACTAATGCTAATTAAACGACTGATTGCCTTATGTACAACTTTGAATAGTAAACATATTTACGAGTATACAACTGGCAGTTTTCTTCTAATGTACTAAAGAGTTGCAATCGCCAGAACGAAATGTGATAGCTCACAAATTATAGGTTGATAAATTACTCCATATTTCAACAAAGCACTTCAGTGTAAAATAGATGATGTCTTAATAAGAAAAGACAAAATGAGTCGTGAAATTCAAGTAACGCGACATATACTCTAAATAGTATAGAGTAACCGAGGTAGCCTAATAAATCGGTGTTCTGAGGTTAAATAATTATTTCGAAGTTTTAAGTCCTACTACGATGGTTGACGAGCAGAAAGACATAAAATGTGAGCCCTTTCATAGCGTCGTGCAATTGCGCATCGCGAATAAAAGCAATTCTTGAAGAAATTGTTTCGAAAACAATTCCCAATATTGTTTATTAACCTCCTAGCAATTCTCTGATTGGTTAATAGAAATAACTTCAAGATATCGTAACTCGATTGATATATTACTAGGTACAATTCATTATGTTCAGTAGTACCAACATTTAGCACAATTACAATTACTGGTAATAAACACTGTACATATTGGGTAATATAAGTTATTTTTTAAGCCAAACCTGACTAAAAGGCTTAAAATATTTAGGATACATAGGCGAAAGGAACTGCAACTGAGTATGAAAGGATAGCCTTAGCGATCACGGCTAAAGCAGCCCTATCGTATCCTATTAAACGAACAATAAATCAATCGATTATATTTTAATAATCGACCAACCCTTCCCCAAACACTTCAGGTACCTCCGAAACACATTCTGGCCAATTTTCTCAGTGTACTTCGATGACAAAATGACAAGTCTCGGGTTGGGGCCTCCCAGATTCCATGACCACACACACTGCTTTTTTCTGCGAGTGTATGTAAACTATTATGCGTACATCATTAAAGAATAAAGAAAGATGCTCTGAAATTGGAATCTTTTCAATATCCAATTAGTAGAGCAATGGGTGGTAGAACGAAAAGAAAAATGGGCCCAACACACTATATCGAGAATGTCTCCAAACATTGTCCCAGCATGTCGTGACGGCATCCTTTTTTGAAGACGTAGCCCGAGACGTCCAAAACGGAGATGGAAGGAACACTCAGCAGGCAAAAACAGGCCATAAGCCTAGAGAAAGAAGAAGTGCACGCAAGGAAGCTAAACACAGGCGAGGGCATCCGTGAGAACATTTCAAATCACAATGCTGCCACTTGGCGTGATTTGCAGAACCTTCTGTAGGGAACGTAAGAAGCCACGGGAAAGCTTTGCGCTAGCACGGCGCCGAGGGAGAGATGTTCCCGAGCAGCAAAGGCTCGACGGCCGAAACAGATTTCTACGGGCCGCTGCGACATAAAATGTCCGTCCTGCGCAGTGTAATCAATGTTGCCTGACTTGATGTCACAAGTTCGGAGGTATCCGAGTTGCAAGACCGTGTCAACAACTAAACCGTAGCTTGAATTAAAAGTGCGGCTGTGAACGGCGAAGGTACACGGACCAAGTGCCTGCGATATTCACTTCAAATAGGCTTTCAACTAAATGTACAATAATCATTGCTCTTAATCAAAGAAACATAAGTTTAGGTAATATTTTTAAAGTAGAAGGTTTGAGGTGTACTTTTCTTGCATTCTAGCTACATAAAAACATTGATTTCACGTGAACATTCTTCGGTTGGCACAATGACAATATAATAGGAGTAAAACAGCTCCAGCAGGAGTTAGCCAACGTTTGTGAAATGAAAGCGAAACATTCTTACATTACTCACCAACCAAGCCTCCCAATGTGATTTGGCAAAAAATGAGTGACAAAAGATCACTCAAGTGACTGAACAGAGTGTAAGTATAGTAATTAATTAATTAATTAAATCAAGAAATGACTTTATTGATGGCGAGGCTCAGGTGATTTGGTCTGCTCTTCCGCCTGATCATTTTCAAAACTTTTATTTTAATAGTACATAATAAAAAGGAGGTTCTTAATTCATTGAAAATACGTACGCAATTTGGGTGAAGAGTTTCTCACATAGGCGACAGGAGTGAAAGCGAGGGACGCAGGAGTTGATAGAAAAGGAATGCTCTGACAACACTTGCGAGATTAAATTTATTAATTTCAAGTTTGGGATGTATTACAAATCAATCACAAATATATCAAGTTGAACACTACGAGATTTTACTCAAATTTAGAGAAATTATCTTTGAGCTAGTCAGGAAGTTAGGAATAGAAAATAAAATTGTTTAAATCAGTAAAATGTTAATAAGTACTACTAATTTTTTAAAGAGGTTTTGAAAATGTTAAAAATGCGAACGTATTTATGAATTACCTTTAAAAAAAGCTAGAAAGGGGGGGATTTCGTCAGTATACAAACAAAATGATATCAAGTCCAGCGTTCAAGCCTTGAAAGAATCGGAAAACATTGACAAATAATGGTAAGTGGTTTTACGTATTGTTATTAATAATATGAAATAATAATAATAAGGAGAAGATGAAGAAGAAGAAGAAGAAGAAGAAGAAGAAGAAGAAAAAGAAGAAGAAGAATTTACTATAAATCTTTTTGGCTATTAAATGAAGTAAAAGAATAAGATTCAAAGACGTGGATAGAAAAATTAGAAGTTTGACACCTTCGGACGTGTCGAGCATTCAGAATGTCCCGCAGAGAGCGGCATAGGCGTGCAGCCACTCACCTGTTGCCGCGCGGGGGCTCCCAGTGCACGCGGAAGGAGGACTCGCTGACGGAGGCGGGGTCGTAGGAGACGTTGAGCGGCCGCAAGGGCACCGTGCGGTACTGCGCCGTCGTCGGCGTCGACACCTCCGCGTTGTCCGTCTCCGTCTGCACGGAGATGTCGTAGGCTCGGCCCGGCACCAGACCCTGCCACACGACACGACACGACACGTCACGACACGTCACGACACGACACCACCCGACGGGAGAGCGATGGGCAGCGAAGACCGCCCACCGAAGCAGGGAAGCACTACCAGGTTCTAGACTAGAGGTGTCCAACTTGCAAGGCCTCAATGGCCACAACTACAACATTTAATATGGTTGCAATGTCTGAGATTTTTGATTAAGTTCGCCTGACCCCTAGTGGGGTCCCTTCGAACAGTGGGCTTCCGGTGGGTTGTTGTTTTAAGCTTTTGACTCCTCTCCCCAGTACGGGGACGGGGATCAGGAGTCTGGGTTGTTGGTGGAAGGTTATTTTGTTCATGGAGAGAAGCATTGTTTTATTAGGGTTTTGGAAGACGGGGTGTGGAAAGGGAGGGACAGGGATGGGAGGGAATGGGAGGGGATGGGGTGGAGTGAAATGATACGGCGCAGTTGTAGTCAATTGCGTCTTCAGCTGTGTCAGTCAGTTTGGTAGTTTGTTGTCAGGTCTGCCGTTTTTTTGTCTTTACCCTCTGGCTTAGATGATAAAAGGGGGAAGTTGGAAGATGTCTAAAGGGTGCTTTTTCCGGTGTGTCGGGATGTTTGAGGGCTATATTTTCATTACTCAGGAGATTCACGATTATTTTACAAACTTTCGTGTCAACAGTAATTTTTTTTCTTGTTCTGAAAGCCACTTTCACTAACAACATTTCATTAAGAGCGGCATAAAACTCTAGATATGTACATAAAATATTTCTTCTCATTACAATATTAGAAAATAATGATTTGGGAACAGTAGCCTATATTGTCCCCGACAAAATTCTCTACTTTTCAGTGAAAACTCCATCAAAATTGGTTTGTCGTTTCCGAGTTAACTCGATCAAATAGTCCAACAAAGTGACAAAAAATCGTAGAAAAACAAACAACAAAAACAAAAAAAGGTTTTCATATCATGCACAATACAATTATGAGCTTATAAAATGGCTGTAATTTAAAAATCACAGTCACTTCAATTTTATTTATAAATAAGATAAATATACCCATTTCCTTCGTACACAATAAGTGCTTACCTTGAAGGCGGCTTGTGCAGGGCCCGGAGGTTCGGTGTCTTTGCTGACGTACAGCACCGAGTCGGGGGCGTCCGGGGGCTGGATGCTGACCTTGTAGTCGGAGAAGACCCCCACGGGGTAGGGCGGCTGCCACAGCACCAGCAGCGTCGTCTCATTGCGGAACCACACGATGAACTTTCCGGGAGTGTTGGGCTCTGCGCAATGCAAGAAACGGGGCATTCAGTGGGGGAAAGTAAGCATTTCCGAACGGACTCCGCTAGATCGGGACCCGCATTAATATGTTGAACGAAATTTCCATGTTAGTTCACAAACACGCAAAAACTAATATATTAATTGAAATGACTTCTGATGGATATGGATTCTCCCACTATTTTTAAACGACTCCCAATTATTTTTATTTTTACACTAGTAATTAATAAATATGAAAAAAGGTGCATTGATTTTTAATCGGAAGTAGTTTATTTCCATATTAATTTTCATTGCGTAGTTAAATTAGGGGAACCTCCATAGAAAGTAGAAAGGAACTGTTTTGGCGATACTAAAGATACGCGAGGCATATCAAGTTACCGAAATATTTTTAACATTATTGAAATAGTAAAAAAATGCGCGAACTTTATTTTATACAATAAGATCCGTATTTTAGTTTTCCTATACCATCCAAATTAATATTTAGCAATAATTAACAAAAAGTTGGCAAGACTGACTGGGCCTGATGCACAAGGGACGTGCAATCAGTGATGACATTGATTCCAGGAAATGCATTTGAGGAAAAGTGTAATCCCATACTTCAAAATTACATCATTGTGCCCATCAACATTAGCGTTGTAGCTCTCTTGGAAGTACTGGAAAATCTGGATATTCTTTCGGAGAAGTCGTCGCGGCCATCTCACAAGAAATCGATGTCGGTTTGGTCTGCTTGCCTGTCAACATCTTGGTAGCCGATTTGGCTTAAATTTCCTTCATTTGCAATTCAGTCGTGCCACGTTCATATGCAATTAAAAGGACGTTACAAGTTTTAATTCACCTGTTATCAATCTAACACTCAGTCATTGGACAAGCTTCAAACCTGCAGTCCTCTTAACTACACTGAAACTATTTGAACTTGGGCGAGCGTTCACATTTTGTTAATTGTTTGTAAAGGGGTTTTTGGAAAGAGGTAATGATCTTTCGATGAACCTAATCCATTTAATTTCTCGATCGAAGTTTTAGTCACTTTTCGTTAAAACAGTTGGTTTGTAATCAATTATGAATTACTAAAATCTTTCCCAAATTTCAGATAATTATGTATTGAAATATTTATTATAACAGCGTTACCTGTCTTTGGAAAAGAAAAATAGTACTTGTTAAACCAAAGAAAAAGAAGTTGCAACATAAATAGAAATTATTTGTGGGGCTTCCCGAGTGCATAGAAGCCTTACGAGACGTGAACTTGCAGAATTATTTCTGCCGTCACTCATGAGAGCGCGTGCAGATCACACAAAGAAGAAGTGGGATGTCATCTTTAATTAATATGTTTGACGCACATCATAGTGAAAGGTTATAAATGGGTAGCAAATAAGCACTGTCATCAAGCAATGATTGTGTCAAATTGGAAACAATATGTTGAATCTGAACTCTTAAATCTGTTCTCCTTACATTTTTCTTCTCCTTCAAATGCTGTTAGGAATTACAATATACAAAATACTACTACATTTGTTCCACACCCAATTACAGTGAAAATACAGAAAAAATACGAAGTACAGTAAAATACAAAGTATTAGTAAAATGCGTAGTTAACACTTTGTAAAAGCATGTTGTATTGAAAGGTGAAAAACTTCCGCTATATAATATCAATGAAGTATGTTTGTGACACGTATGAATTATAATAGATCAACATCATCATTATCATCAGTCATCAAAATTACATGCTACGAAATCCAACTGAGAATCTTCAGATTTTATGGTATGGAAACGTAATGAAGTATTAATCAAATAGTACTATGGTATTCAATGATAATTTTCAAGTTACAGGAAGTATACACATAAAATGCAGAAACTAACCAAACAAAATTGCCATCTAATGTTCCAAGGACAAGCACTGCCTTTCTCTTCAGGAGTGTCAGCTGTGTTACTAACAATGACCCGACATATTCGGACATGATTTTTAAGTACTAATAAACAAAAGCAAAATGTTCCCCACTGACTCAACTCGCTCTTCTCATTGATATCATCTGTTTTCCAAAGTTTCACTTCCTTCACAGCGAGCTCCTTTCTTCGAACAACACCCAAGGGGCTATTAAGAAGGCATGACTAACTAGGGACAGAGAGAAAACATCTCTGTTAAAATTTGATGCACTGTTGTAATGATTCAAATGTCGACAAATCGACGTACAAAATTATCTACACATATTTCAAAACTTTTAAACTACAACCGCAAAGAAAAATAATGATTGTATAAAGATTATTTAAAATATAGGAATCATATGAGAAATGATAACCACATCATCGTTTGTCCTTCAGAATGAGAGTCTCCCTTTCACTCTTAGGATAAAGCGATAGAATTGATGGGAGGAAACCATGGAGACCGCTGAGAAGAACAGTTCTCTCTTGAAGTTTGGGATTACACAATGATAAGCATCACAACAAGAAAACCTTTCCTTTCTTGTTTCTGAAGAGACTGACAAGACATTGCCGAAGAAATGATTTATTATATGACGTACGCTGTACGTTTACATGCAACAAATGTGCCTCTTATGTTGATCAACTGATTTATATAATTCTTTGAACTTTCAATCACCTCTCCTGCAAAAATCACACGAGTCGACTAATACCGAAAGCCTGAATTCCTATCCAAGCAATGACTCCATCCTACCTAAACCCGTCGCTGTCCTACGCTTAAGTTCTTAATTCCAGTCGCCGCATCGCTAGAAGGTTTGAGAATCATAAGGAAGGATTCTATTTGCGATCAATAACGAACGAACGCCGACCCAGGTTACCGAGATCGCTAAGGCAGTCGTGCCGTGGCAACCTCGAGCCGAAGAATCGAGGGTTCGAGTCCCGCCATGGGTATGGTTGAATTTGTGTTCGTCCTTTCACCCCTCAATCATCACCCTATCACTTCATTCAGTATTCCCTGCAAAAATGCAGGAGACCCTTGCCCTTAATGGGATCTTTGATGGCTAATACAAAAATGAGCGAACGGGTTTTAGCAAACCATTGACCTACTCTCTCAAGCAAAGGCTCTTGTTTTCTCCGCTGCACTACGGCCGCGTGCACGAGTTCTCGTGGCATTTCTCCCTCATTATCTTATCGCCATCTTAGTCTCGGTAGCGGCGGTCCACCTGCTCCGTCGTCGGCAACGAACTTGCACAGACGATACATTCCAACGCTCTCGCACATTTCCCAGCAATGGCGGACGGTGGGTTCAAAACTTCGGGAGGCCCAGACTAATGCAGGCACGGAATCATATCGTGAAATTGAAAGTCAATGAGCTTTGGTTTACTGGCAAACTGTTATTGGCAACATTCCAAATAAATTAATTAGATTTCTCAACTTTTAGGATCACTTCTCCGTGAATACAGCACTTTCAATAATAATAATAATAATAATAATAATAATAATAATAATAATAATAATAATAATAATAATAATAATGTATTGTGGCCTCTGAAATACTAGGTCTGCCACACAATGGTCCGTGCCACAACTCAAAACCTGTACAAAACAAAAGTACTCTTTCCGTATTGGTTGAGGGGCGTTGTCATGGCAACAGGGGAGGCACGCGTCAGCTTGAGCTTGGTGGTACTTTGTGTAATGCTTAGAACTGCTTCGAACTGTAAAGCACGATATTTTGACTCTCGTCGCCACAAATCTCGGGGTAAACTGTAGGGATTTCTCAGCGACAAATATTTGTTGTGTGTAATAATTTATAATACATTTACCCATACGAATGCGATTTCGCGTTTTATAAACAATAAAATTAATTTAATTAATAAGCAAAGTGTTTAAAACATAACTCTTTTATTGATCTTAATGAGAAAATCTCTATCAGTATGTCGGAAAGAGAGTTAATTGCTTTATCTCGTGTACGAGTTACGTAACGAGGTACGCTCACTGTTACCGCACTCTCCGAGGAACGTGTTTCCTATAATTATTTATCGACAACAGTACCAGGCCGCATCACGTCACGTCTGTGGAAACGTTATGCTTGATGAAGGTTTTACGGCAAGAAATGCCAGGAATGATAATTTCGAGATTTCCTGTTCGGAAACTGAAACGGTTGCAGTTTCACTCGTTTCCTCTAATAATTACGCGCGAAAGTTGGCCCGTTCCTCTTCCCCTTTATTGTATTGTTTAATTGGGAGGTGGTTTAGTTTTGCTTTGAAATATCTAAGCAGATACTTGCAAAGATGTAAAACTCTGGTTATCTAGATTTACAAATCACGGGTTTTGCGAAATACGCAATCACATATATTCGTTCATTGATTGCTATTACGTTACGTCCTTGAGGTATGGATTGGAACATTCTTTTCGTCACAAGAAAACAACAGAATCGCACTATGTTTATTGAAATAACACAAACGTAAAGCATTGTTTTCCTTCATGATTCATGCATGTAATATTTATTCCACAGCATTTCTGTAAACATGCATAAGATTTTGGCAATCACATGTATTCACCACAAGTCTTTACGACAAGAATTTTAAACATATGTAAAGTATTAAACGTGAAGACTATTATTCTATTTAAATGAGTTGTGTAGTAGAGAGTAATCGAACATTTCAATTTAACGACTTATCAGACATCATGTTTACAGGAAAAGGGAAGGGGATTAGTGAAGATCAAAATATCGATGATTTCGAGTAATTGAAATTAGATTTATTGACATTTTCTGTTTTCAGTTCTGCGTAATATATTAGCAATGAAACCGTGCTTCACGTTTTCGCGTACGATTTAAATGGAGATGTCGCGTCCATTCGCTCGTACGCGTGCTGACATCACATCTGAAAGTCCTTCGACTTTTTAAATCGTGTTTCTCCCTGAATTCATTTGAGAAAAAGTGAAATATATGGAGTTCTTCCTATTGATATTTCGCGCTAACAGTCGCAAGTGGAGGTATGCATTCGCCACTTTTCCTCATTTCGATTCTTCGATTCATTTGCACACTCTTGCACAACCAGAGCGACTGTATGAGGGGTGAGAGCGCACCTTTCAA